TTTTCCATCCGCCCTTTGAAAGTGGCTTTCTCCTCCCATAGCTCTGGATATGCTGAAATCCACAGTTAGTTTGGTGTTCTCGGCAGAACAGAACATCGGCGCTTGATTGCGCCCCCAGATCCCACTTTCATTCCACGATCCCTTGATGTGCTCCAAGGGAAAAGCAGGCAGAGCGGTTTGTAGCACCGTGACCTCTGTGTGTCGAAAATGAAGGCCTGGCTGATGTGGGCACAGGCATGTGAACTTACATGCATTCATACCAGTGAAGGCACAGGTCCATGCCCCGATACCCACACCCATGCACCCACCCACACACATGCACTTGCGTGTTCCCACATGCAAACACACACACACATTTGCACATATGGTTTCAGACACGGGGCCATGCTCACAAACATTGTGGTCCCTTTCCCTGCTGTCGTTCGTGCTAGGTGCCCAAAAAATGAGTCTGAATGAGTCTTGTCAGACGGTCTGATGTTGGTGCCCCCGTCTGACAAGAGATTGCATCACTGGAAACAAAAGATGCAAATAGCTAAAACCCGACTAGACTAGGGGATTGGAATGCAAGAACCATGTAGGACCCTGGGAACCGGAGTCAAGCAGTCAGAGCAATGGCTCGCTGAATATCAGTATTCTTGGGGTGAGCGAACTGAGAAGTACTGGGTGCAGAAGGATCCATTCGTAGGGTATCTCACCACTCAGATCAGGAAACGTATCCGATTCCATCAGAAATACCAGGGAAGACCACTTGGTCTCCACGGGTGGGACAAAGTAACCAATGCTGACATGCTACAAAGGACTGAGCAGAGGTGAGGACTCATAAAAGAAGACTGAAGTGGTCTGCGTATGTTGTATGGATGTCAACACATGTGGCATTAGACAGAGATCGAAACACTGGCTTGTGTCGTAGGTCACACGGCACACAACCATAAAATAATCATAGGACAGGTTGAACCTCTGTAGTCCGACACCTGACCGGTGAGAAACCAGAGAATTTGCCAACTCACAGGAGGTCGATATTGTCTAGCAGCATTACCAGCACTTCCACTGCTGAATGGGCTATGAGAAGACATTTAGGGATAAATTAGAGCTAAATAACAGCACAGAACACTGAGAGCCAGGACTGGTGGCTGTAAACAAACTTTATGGGACGCGGGAAACTTGGCCACACCCAGGATAAGTGGACATCTGGCTAACTAACATCATGCCGGACTATGGAGGTTGCTGGATCAGAGAATTCTGGACTAGAGAGGTTCAATAAAAATGCACATAGTTTTCTTTTTGTGCTTTTCAGAGAATAGCAGCGGCAGACTTTGGTCTGGGCCTGAAGTATTTTGGATGCAGTATTCACGGACAACTAGATCTCAACGAAGATGGCCTCATTGACCTAGCAGTTGGTTCACTTGGGCATGCTGTGCTCTTGTGGTAGGTTATACTTCCTGGTTTTGTTACTGCCCTCTCACTAATGTTCATTGAAATATGTTGTCATTTAAGGGAAACATCGATTTTACAAAAATCTGACCAATTTTATACTCGTATTCCGCGGTCTTAATCCTATCCACTTAGGCCTGGTCTACACTAAAGGAGAAAGTCAACTTAAGATACGCAACTCCAACTACGCTAATTATGCAGCTGGAGTCGAAGTATCTTAAATCACATTTTGGCACCATCCACATAGTGGGAAGTCGACGGGAGTGTACGCTCCCATCAATTTCCCTTGCTACTTGTAGGAGAAGAACTACTGGCACTGCTGGGCGCACACGCTCCATCTAGCATTACCGTGTCTTCACTAGATCCGCTAATTCAAACAGTGGAAGATTGACTGCGGCAGCTTCAATTTTATCATTAGTGTAGACAAGCCCTTAGACTTTAGGAACTTGATTTTGATTTGTGTGTGTGTGTGTGTGATTTGAACAGATATCAATGTTTTGTATTTTTATCAATTCAGATTTTCAGTTTAGCAAAATTATGGGTTGTCAGACCTTTTCTAATTTTATCCACTGAAACTTTCGCAGTTGTGGAAAATTATAGGGGGTCAGACAATCATTTAGTAATGACAGTGGTAATTAGGATTCAGAAAGTTAAAGCTTTATAATAATTAAAACCCAAATTATCGATAGCACATGTCAAAATATACAATGTAATTATACTTCCATCAGATTCTAGTTAGTTCTCAAGCAGCAATGTCCTTTTGTTGCCTATCTATAAATTTCAGTCATTATGGATGGAAAGGTTTTGTTGTTGGCTTATGTGTAGAGTGAAATCGATATTTACCACCATTTTCCAATAAAGATCAAATTCTTCCAAGCCTAGATATACTGAGGAAGCAGCAGGGTTCTGGACTATTACTGTAGGATGGTATTGGAAAGGCAACTGTGCATGAAAAGATGCTAAAACATCACTGAATTTCATAATTCCCTAATGCCACAGGACTCCTCGCCGCTTTTGCATAATTCCCTGGAGTTTCAGACAAAAAACAAAATTAATGTTGTTTCCCAAAGAGCTCTTGGTTTTATTTAGTTAATAAAGTAGAAGACTTACTCAGTGCTGCTCGGGTTCGGCCCGGAAGGCAACTGTGCATGAAAAGATGCTAAAACATCACTGAATTTCATAATTCCCTAATGCCACAGGACTCCTCGCCGCTTTTGCATAATTCCCTGGAGTTTCAGACAAAAAACAAAATTAATGTTGTTTCCCAAAGAGCTCTTGGTTTTATTTAGTTAATAAAGTAGAAGACTTACTCAGTGCTGCTCGGGTTCGGCCCGGGTTGGGGATGATTCTGTGCACTCTGGCGGCTGGCTTTTCCCTGGGTCGGCCTGGGGCGG